AAATTTAGAAACTTTTTGTCTCTTTAAACTTTTTTCGTAAACGCAATATTTTCGAGAAAAATGTCAAAATGTGATCGAATGCATATCGTGATTCTTCATTTTCCTAAAAAACATTGCGTTTTACGAAAAAATATCAAGAGACAAAAAAGTTTCTAAATTGAATGGCTTTCTCGCTAATAATTAAAAAAAAAATTAAATTTGCGACCAAATTTTTCTGGTTCTAAAGGCAAGGGGGCCATGAAAAAGTGTCTTAAGGGGGTTTTTCGCCAAAAAGCGTAGCACTGTGAGATTCCACATGTCATAAAAAACCCCCGTGTACTAAATTTAGTGCCTCTCGTACAACATGGTTCTGAGATATAAAAAAGACTTCTTAGGGGTAGGGGCAGAATTCAAGGGTCTGTAACTCCGAAAAAGGGGGGCCAGTTGGCAAAAAGGAAAAATAAGGGTACCCCTAAATTTGTCTTAAGAATCTATGACCAAATTTTGTTGCATGAATTTCGGGAGACTGTACAACAAACATGTTCCTCTTTACCCACATTCCTCATAATCGCCCATCTATTTATTACAAGAATAATAAATGCACAGTGCAACCGATCGAAACAAATGTTTTTTTAGCAAAATTCCAAGCACAATAACTACTTTTTTAAAACTGGCTGAACCTAATACATACAGAGGACATTGCTTCCGCCGTAGTTCCGCAACCCTACTCTGGAAGTGATTTACTAACACTTTCAAAATCATGGAGGTTGGCGTTCTTCTGCAGTTGCAGAAGGATATATCGATGACAGCTTATCAAATAAGATTCACATTTTTCAAAAAATCCTGACAAACCCAAAACAACGGTACTGGAGAAAACAACACAATTAAAGTATTAAATATTTCCGACCAAATAAATGAAATTCCAGTTGTAATCTAGACAATTCCAATGAACCATCAACTTCATCTATAGAAATAAGTGACCATGCTGCTAGCACTTCAAACATTTACCGAATGCTTACAAATTCTTCAAGGGATAATTAACATTAATTATTAAATAAATAAATTCGCAAATTATTACTGTTATCAGTTGCCCTCGTTTCGCTTCGCTCGCTCAGGCTACTAATCCTCATTTTCTGCCTTTTGCTTTTTAGTGGAGTAAATTGAGTGGTTACATGATTTATGGACAACCGTTACATTGTATTCAGAAAGAATACATTTTTTACTTATTTTACAGTTTATCGCCTTGAATAAGAAAGATATACTTTTATTGAACCGTTAATTTTATCATAGGTATTGTAAACTGCTTCGCTGGTAATGCCTTCTTAACATGTATCTGGCAACATGGCTTTCATGTAAAGGAAAAAATCGCAAAATATCACATCAAGTGGCCCAGACTGGAGCCGTTAGTATGTGCTTTTAGCTCCGCCTTGCCCCTGATGGTGTGGTGTATCGGTTAACACTCATCTCGTCATGACCTAAGACGACACGGCACACACGGCTAACTGCGATCCATGATTCACGAGGACGCGTACGACCGCAACGAAAACAAACATAGATAAGATAACGAGTGTTTAACAGACGGTAACGTCAGGAGGTACCTTTATTTCCCGCGGTACAAAAAATAATAAATATTACGGTGTTCGGTTAACGGCGATAAGTCAGCTATGGTACTGAAAAGTGTACGGTTCTGAATATTTCGCGCTCACCACCTCAGATTTCACCCCTTCTGTTAATTGTGGCTGTATCAAATTTAAATCTCTGTAGTTATTATTATTTGAGGATTATTCAATTAAAAAACCACTACGCGATTATTTAATTCTTTGACTTACAGAAGACTTACATTTCGAATTATTTTCGTGGAAGAACATTGGTCGCAGGACATGTTATTTTAATATTCGTAAAAAAATGTCAGCTTTCAAATGGCAATACATAATGCTATTCCGATTAAATTTCAAAAAAGAAGTCAAAGTTTCGGTAGATTTTTCGCAAATTTCCCGTTATTTTGCAATATGCGCACAATTTGCACAGAAAAGTACATCGCTTAGAGAAAATTTTAAGCCCAAGATGGGTCACGTAAGTGCATTATTGTATGATTTATTGAAATTTGAAAAAAATCTTTTTTCGAAAAACTAATTTTCGCAAAAATTATCAAATATTTTGCATTTTTACAAAAGTGCACTTATTCTATTCGCCAAGGAGTACATATTCTGAAAGCTTCGTAAAAAATCTTTAAAAAAACGTGATTTTCAGCCGTTTTTTGCAATAGCTACAACATACATTTGTTTATCAATTGACATCGGGATGGGCTCAAAATTGATATTATAAAAAGTTCTACAATATTTTTTGCGAACTTTGGACGCTATTTTGAAAATGAAGCCATAACATTTGAGCTGGGATAAAGTATTTCTTTCAATTCTACGGAATTTTCCCTAAATTTTATGTGCATTTGTTTACTGAATTAAATTTGGCAAAGAAACGAGGTATTTTCTTCAATTCGACTGGCTAATAGCTGTTTTACATTGACAATTTATTGATCAATTAATTCATGAAATCGCTTCATCAAGAAATTGGATAAGTGTAATGCACCAAATCTGCTGTCAAATAACTTCATGAATTTATTCATCAAGTTCTTGACGAATTAGAGCATGTCCTAATTTTCATCAATTTCTTCGTGAAGTTCCGAAGTACCAACCCAACAGATTTCCAGCCTCAGATCAATAATGAGGTTATGTTATTGGAATATGTAAATAATTGTGTGGCGTCGTACTAGTTTTGCATTGTTTTTACTGATTTGTTATTTACAAAAACTAATATTTATATAATATGTGTCAAAATGGTACCCTGTTGTATCACTACAATTATGAGTGGGAAGGTGACATTTTTGAAATTTATTTGCTTCTTTGATTCATTGGTAGAACTGATTCATACGTCAAAAAACTTGACAAAGTCTGTAGCAGTGTAAAACCACACTGTTTACCAATAAATTCGTGAATTAATTCATGAAGAACTTTGTCAATTTATTTATGAATAAATTGTCAATGTAAAACAGCTATAAAAAGTTTTGACGTCTTCTAGTGGCCAAGAGACGTAACTTTTGAATAGGGAGATATACAGAAAGAGAGGTAAAGGTTAGTTAGTCGTTAGTCGTCTTATTTTCGCCCTAAGAATAATATGGTAGTTCCATGTATAGGTACATATAGGAAATACTGCATGTATGTATGTCCAGGGGCTTGCCAGGTGAACGCCCTGTATACGGATCATTAAGTATCGATGGGAGGAACGACTCTTCTGCAAAACACGGCATATTTATCGCACGGTCACGTTGGCGCTGTATTTAAATTTTGATTTACGCACCGAAAAGTTGCATTAAAATTTATTTAGTACCTCTGGGACCGCCATAACTCACGCCCTGGCGGCCCTTTCGAGATCCGGATCGGATAAGTGGTGAAATTGCCGGCCTGCTATGATTGATGCGAGGATTCCGTGCCTCCCGCGACGTCCGGAACGTTTTTGTTTGGCTAATAATTTTCTTTCGCGACGGCTTCTAAGTTTGCCTTTTTCGCGGCGAGTATTTCAGTGGCGACATCTTTAAATTTGATTTTATAAATATCTACTTGGATAGTGGCGTTTCAAATTCAAATTCAAACGAGAAATTTCTATGTTATTTAGGTTCCCACCATTTTGAGAAAATACATCAGATAAAACATAACCTCACAATTTATCTTTTGTATTATTTTGTACTTAATGATACATTCAAGCTAGTATTGGATTTCATTCCTTTTTCCTTGGACTAAACTCCATTTGTACAAAGATAATAAGTTGTGTAATTAACTTTAAATAAAGGACATACAAGTTTCAAGGGTTTGTTTACATTCAGGGTTGCCAAGTTTTGGAAACACATAATAGCAAGACAATATCGTCACCTTTAATGTTCAGAAGTTTTTGTTTGAGATCGACAACTTTAACATAATTACTCAAATGTGATTTGGAAAACTTTTTTATCGGAAACTTCAGATAACCATCATATTTTTTTACCTCTCAGTATTGTTCCTATTTTTTTTACCTATAGTTCCACATTTAGCTTCGCATGACTTATAGTTCGAATTTTATCTTGCTTTCTCATTACTGAGCTTGGTAAACAAAAAAGAACCTGTAATTCTTATTCTCGTGGTTAGAGAAGAGTCAAACAATGAACTTGAAAATTTGCTAAACAATATTCATAATTAGAAATGATGATTTGTGGTATACGTTACTGTATTGTTATTACAAACGATCGCTAATAATTCCAAATTTTTGTTGGTTACGTGAGTGTTGTTAACACACAATACATAATAGAACAAGGAAATAGTAGAGGTTCTATTTCTGAAATCCTGAAAAAAATAGCACCAAATACCATTGTTTACGAGGATTATTGAATGTGAAATACATATATTTTAAATTGTCCCAGTCCACTCGCCAAAAATAATTTTGAATCTCAAATTTTTTAACAATAATAATCGTAATATCAATATATCGCCACACCTGGCAACACTGTTTACAGTTTATCTCTTTTCTATAAGTGCAAATTATTTCCGCCAGAGGGCAGAGAGCTTGGCATGTCGTCTCGTCTCGCGAAGACAGACGAAAAAACGCTGACACTAGTTTATACTGCGTAAAATGTATTACTAACCAAACAAACATATTTAAAAAAGAGTAATTTATATTTGAACCTCGTCTAAAATTTACTGTTTAATTATGCCGTCCTTTTGTTTCATCGCATCTAAATATGTCTATTAGTCGATTAATTATTTATTCATCGTTCATACTTAATTTCCCATTTATTTATTCATTACTAGCAGGCAAATTATTTGTGCAAATTATCGATCATGGTAGTAAGTGCCTTTGCAGATATTTGAAAATCCATCTGAGTTTTGGTGTATTTTTGGAAACATTTTAGAAAAAATATCAGGTAATCATTGAATCTAAACCGTCTGTAGAAGAGTAATTAACTTTATCGCGTATGTCTTGGACGTTTTACTTACCATCGAACTTTTTTGCTCTGGTATCAATTATTGATGAGATTTTCGCGACAGAATCTTTCATATACTTGTCCACTAATAATTGGTTGTACTTGAACATCTCATTTTCCAAGTCCTGGCTGCAACACGACTCCCCACAAATTTGACCTGAAAAAAATATATAACATAAATATAAATAGATGAGGCATCAAGCCATACTAAGTTGTATTAAGTTTAGGAGATATTTAAGAAAAACTTTCTAAAAAAATAGCTCATTCCAAACACAAAAACGCTTTAAAATGAGGTGTCACTCAACATAATTAAGGGTATTTTACGCCCCTGCCTAAGGGGTAGCTTCCCAGACAGTTTTTCCAAGTTTTTTGTTTAATTCCGATATTTTCCAGGTGGAAAATTTTAATTGGAACGCCCCGTATAACATTTTATATACCAAAAAAAGGTTCTTCGAGCTGAATGACGGCTTTTTAAAGTTGCATAGTGTATGTAACATATTTATGTTTTTTTCAAGATTTAATCGCTTGCAAATATCCTTATTTTCGAATGGCCTTTACCAATTTTCTGCTTTGCTGGAGAGAAATCTACATAGAACCGGAGTGGCCATTCAAAAAAAAAACCTTCCACAATGAACACACACAGTTCGCTTAATCCCCTGTACGGATTAATTTGAGCGAGGTGGCCCCATTGTTGACTTTATTCACAAACGAGTGCGTAGTCTTTGTTGCTAAAGAGCGTATTAGCCGCTTGGACAGGCGTCCTAGGCCCCGGCACCTTTCCAGGTAAAACCGCCGGCTTCTCAAAAGTCGGGCAACCCTGTCGGATGCTTGGAATGCCAAATTAGTGAGGCATTATCTTGGATTACGGGCGGATGTTCGGACAAGTCTGTGCAGGACGTTCGGTGTCGAGACTTGTTTGTCTAGCGACCAACCATCGTTGCCAGGTGGAGGAAATTTTGTAAAAATATGTGGTGGTATTCAAATATGTTATTAATTTATTTCGTTGCTAACGCAAAACTCATAAAAATCATAAAGTTTCACCTGTTTTAGAGGGAGCTTAACGCGAAACTAATGTTAATTTTGTGCCTTCGAATCTAGTTTTTGAGAGAAAAATGTTCAAAATTGTAACGTGTACACTTCATACGGCACTTGATTCTTCACTGTTTATAACTCTATAAGGTCTATGTCTCTTTTAAAACTTTTAATTAGAGACCTAATAATTTATGGTACCACTTTTAGAAATTTGAAGAAAAAATATTTTATAAGGTTACTAAGCGCCGCAATTTTATTTCTACGGGTAGCAGGTCGATTAAAACTGATCTATGGCAAAAAGAAAAATATCTATATCCACTGAACTGCTATAGTCAATAACTTATTTTAATAATTTAACATAGCAAATAAATAAATATTATATAAAAAAAATTCACCTGATCTACCTTCATGTAGAAATATATAGGATTTGATAAGGACTTAGTGTAATGTAGAAGAGTGTGTGTGAGAAAGAGAAGGGGGGCCAAAAATTGCAGCAAATGATATATGTATTCTATTTTTTCTTTGGTTATTTTCCTTGAAAAAAAAAAAAAGAGAAAAATATGATTCTGAGGAATTATGGCATCTCTAATTAACATGTCTTAAAAAAATATGTACACTGTACAGTGTTGTAAATAGTGATTATTATAATGTTAAGAATACATAATATTAAGTAGGTATACATTGCACGTTTATTTCCTAAAGTCCCGAGGAACATGTTATTCTAGTTTATTTTTCTTGTGAGAAATCAACTCTGAAATTTTGACACAAAATCCCTATTACATCCCGTATAAACTTATGCTTTTTTCTTAAAAATCTTAGATGTTGTAATTTTTCTTATGAATAACAATTAAAGGACCCCGCACTTTTCTTATGGGAAGTGGTGTAATATAACAACCCTAGGTTCGACAAAAAATAAGTAAACGTAGCTGTGGCCAAAAATATGTGATCGTCATAAGGAATCCCTACGTTGTATGTATTTAATTTTTTATTGACCGGAAGGCGCTGGCTACTAACTTTGTAGAGGGGATGTATGGTTTAATTATATAAAACAAAAGCAGAGTAAATACACCTAACCTTTATTTACATACAATTCAAATTAAACATGTGACAAATAGAAAGAACAACAAAAACATTAACAACCATTAAACATAAAAGGAGAGTGCCAGGCTCACCTAGAGCTCCTGCGGGGAAAGAGCATGGCAGAGAAACCCACGATCTTTGCTCT